GGGCCCGGGCTGGGGATTCGAACCCGCCACCTTAGGTGTACGTGGCTGGTGCCTTAGCCGCTTGAGCCACAGGCGCCGAGACTGGGAAGCTGGATTTTCACAAATCTATATAGTATGGCAATTTCATTCAGAGATTGGAAATCATCATCATACCTCACAACAACCTCAAACTCCTAGACTCAGTGATCCTCCTGCTTTGGCCTCCTGAGTAGCTGGGACTATAGGTGCACACCACCACACTCAGCTAATTTTTCTATTTTTAGCAGAGACAGGATCCCTCTCTTGCTCAGGCTGGTCTTAAACTCTGAGCTCAAGCAATCCTCCCACCTTGGCCTCCCAAAGTACTAGGACTATAGGCATAAGCCACCTGCACTGGCCATTGATGCTTTTTTAAATTGGAATTTATTTCCAAATATTTAATGCCTGTGTAGTTTTGCAATGCTTGGTGTTTTAGTTACCTTCATAGGACTTAAGTCAGGTCTTATCTCCTCAACTAGACTGTTCCACCTTCAGTTATTCAGAGGACAAATCATTCAAGGTATTAATTAGACTTTTTTCTCCTTTCTGCTGACCATTCATTTCCCACTAGACCCTTTTACCAGAAGTGGAGCAAAAATGAGAGAGGATACAAACTAAACACATCATTTTTTTGTTGCAATCATGTATTATCTATTAAATAAGTAAATATGACGTTAAAGACTATTGGCTGTCAAGAAATATTACTAATTATCTAAGGATTCAAAAAATAACATCAGAATAAGATAAAATTATCTAGGGCTTAAAAAAATAACCTCAAAAATAAAATATTTTGTTTATAGATTAAAAAACACTTCTGAATTAAAAAAAAAAACATTGCACTATGGTGCAATGAATTCAACTAAAGCAAGAACAAAGTCCAAAGCTATTAAAAGTATGAACTAGATTGACTCAAACCCCCATTCTAATAGACTGGAAAAGGCTCTTTTCTGGGCAGAAATATTCACCTGCCTCTACTGTTTTTTTGCTCACCATGTCCATCAATAATGAAAAATTACACGACACATATATGGAAAGTATCACCTCTTCATTGAAAGAAAAAGTCATAAAACCAGATGCAGAGATGGAATAGCCCAGATGTTGGAATTATCCACCAGAAACTTTAAACTAACTATAATAAATACGTTAAGGAATCTAGTGAAAAGGTGGACCATCCATGCGTGAATGATGGAGAGTTTCATTAGTGAGATAGAAACTGTTTCTTAAAAGGCAATAGAAATGCTCGAAATCAAAATCACAACATGAAAAAAGGAGGATTTTCAAATAGATTTTCAGAGAAAGTAATCCATAGACTTGAAAACAGATCAGTAAAAATGATCCAAACTTAAACACAGAGGAAAAAAAAAAACCATGGAAAAAAAGAATATTCAAGATTCATGGGGCAATATCCAAGAAATGTGCAAAGGGAGTCCTCAAAGGAAAAGGAGAAAGAAGATCAAGCAGAGAAAAATATTCATAGAGATACTGGCTGAAATTTTTTCCTAAACTAATGAAATAATTAACTCACAGATTCAATAATTCTATGTAACTCCAAGTAGGATAAGCAAAAAGAAAAATACACCTAGTTGTGTAAGAGTTGAACTGCTGAAAATTAAAATAAAGAAAAAAATCTGGGAAAAAAATAGCTTGAGGAAAAAGAAATATTAAATACTGGGGAACAAATTTGACATTTTATTTGGACAGAGCTGTAGCCAAGACCTCCCTTGCCACACTCGCCTCAAAGATATGAGTCTCTCTGCTAGGGTTAATGGGACTGCCTTAGAAGGTGGTCGCAGGAAAATAGGAAGTACCACCAGACGCCACTTACAGTTTCTTCTCTGTGCACCAGGGCAGGTGTTTACAATAGCTTTGTACATTTCAGGCTCTGGAGAGCAAGGTTGACCCCTTGGATAAAATGAGCTAGAGCAGAGGTAGACTCTAGATGTTGCAGGCAAAGGAGAAGCCCATGGACAGCACCTGAGCCTTCCAAGGCGGCCTGTCCGGCTATGGGCACAGCTGCCCCGGCAGGAGGTCCCTCTTTGTCTCTTCTCAGCAGCTGGAAAGCTGGCACCCATCCCACGGACTCTCAAGGGTAGCAGGTTGTAGATTCATGTATTGTGCATGAAATTGAATAGAATACCCACCTCGTGTCTGAAATTCTGGAAAACTCCTGAATACTAGAAAATTTGTAGAAATGGTTGCTCCCCTCTCAGAGATAAGCACCACACCTGTACCTTCCTCTGCTGGTTTACTTTTATTCCTTCATTCAACAAAAATAGGCATTGTGAGCCTTGTCTATGCCATCCATTTCTCTCTCTTTCTATGTGGTCTCCATTAGTTGGGGGACAAATGGAAGGCAGGTTCTGCATTGCACGTGTTCTCATAGTCTCATGTTGAAAGTGATTGAGAAAGAAAAGGGGGTGTCAAGAAAGGCAGGAAAAAGAGAGGCGAGGACAGGAAGCTTTTCCCTAACAATTTACTTTCTGAAAGAGCTTGCGTGTCTCACTCTCCTGCCCCACTTGAAGATTTGTTCTTCTTAGCTTGTTCCTAAGCCAATAAAAATTTGCTTACAACTGTTCCCGTAGCAACCAGCAACCTTTGTGCTTTACTTTTGATTTAAAACTCACAGTAAGGAAAATCTCTGTTGAAATGGATGTCACTTGATCTTAGCCAAAAGGCAGAGCATCAATATTTGAAATGTATTTCTAAATGGGTTTGTTTCCTTTCCTAAAAGTAAATAAATAAATAGAGAATCTGACGGTGTATACTTTTTAATTTTAAGCATTTGCTTCATTTTTGTTTCTTTCTTTGAGGTTTTTTCAGATCAGTTTTGGACGGAGACGGCAGAGCCAGCACACGATGCAAGAACAAATGGGGCTGACTTCAAATTCTTTTCTTTACCAAAAGCTGTGAAACTGCAGCGAGAATCACAAGAATAAATGACAGGATCTCCAGTTCTGGGTTAGTGGCTGAGTGGCAGCAAAGACCACCACACCCCTTGCTGTGCTGGTCGCAGGCTGGCTCAATGCTACGGGCATAACTCCAGAAGTTCCCAGGAACAAGGTATGTTTGCTCTGGAAACCATGAGGAAGTTTCTAAAGAGCTGTGCCTCGGGCTGGAGCTCAGTAAATATACAAGCGGATGTGAGCATGAAGAATGTACCTGAAAGTTCTCCTCGATACATTATTTATTACAATTGCATGGCCACAACTCCAAACTGCAGCTCCAGGGCAAAGCGTGTCCTATTTACACATGCGTTTGATCAATGCGCCACATGCTGTTGGGTGGTGTCTGTAATCTTCTGTGAGTACTTCTGTCCTAGATTCGGGGTGACCAGGAGCTTGGCAGTCTCAATCCCTCCCCAGACTCACAGGCACAAAGGTGCTTAGTCACACATGAGAGACCAGACCCCATCTAGTCCCACTGGAACACCCAGACTGCTAAATTCTTTAACAGACGTCATCTCACTTAATCCTCACAACAAGCCTGTGGGATTGAGGAGATGATCCCTTAACTGAGGCTCAAAGGTGTTAGATAGGTTACCCAGTTAGGAAACAGCAGGGCTAGGATTTAAACCCAGGGCTGGAAGACTGCTAAGCATTTCATTTAGGCCACTCTACCTCTCACGACTCTCATTTGGAATTTTGCCTCCTCCCCGCTAGGAATCAAGGCGTAGAAATCACACCAGACTGGCTGGAGGCAGACAGCATTCAGAGAGGGGGTTTCCAGGCCACAGAGCCTCAAACAACTGTCCCAGTTCTGTTTTCTTCTGAACCTAGCTCTGAACTTCACACTCTTACGTTCCCAGAAAGGTGAACACACACACACAAATACACACATGCCAAGCTAAGTCAGTCCAGGGATCTATCATCAGGGCCACTCAGTGTTCCATCAGTGGAACAATTGTGGAATGAGGATGGAGTCTTAGCCCTTCAGGACAGGAGGTATGTATTCACCAATTCCACCTGCGAACACCTCCATGGTCATCTGGACAAGTAAGAACTGACAACCCCTATTGGGACAGGACCCCCGGATTTGCTGAGTCTTTGAGCCAGTTTGGAGCTCCTGCCTCTGGTTTTTGTCTCGATTGTTTGCATGCTTGCTGATTTCAGGGGCTCTTTTCTCTTATGCATATTCGGTTCTGATTGAGGAGACATAGCCACGTCCAACCTTATGAAAACACATTTGGTATAGTCTCATTATACATGTCACAGAGACACGCTACACTTTAAGTGAAATAGAATAAAACAGCCCTTTTCAGACCAGGCAAAACATTGGCCTCTCCTCAGCTGTATTTTTCCTAAGGGAACCAATAGGCATTATGAACAAATACACATTAACTCTGAGCCCCTGTGTCTCACACACACACACACACACACACACACATACACACACATGTGAGGACCATGTGTTTGACTGTTCAAAGCAAAGTTTCCACTCCTCCAATCCCCACTGCTATCCGTTCCCCCAAAAGAACCTCTGAAAATATCATATTTTACCTAATGTGAAAGACAATCAATATTATTTTGATCCATTTGAGTGGCCTGAAGGCAAGACTCAAAACGATTAGCCTGGCTAGTGACATGCCTCCTCTGACCCCTCTAGTGAACTTCTGGAATGGCTGAAACTTGACAGGTTTCTAGCCACTTGTCCTGCTTTTCTCTGCAAAACCTCAGCTTCTGCTGCTTCCATCCATTTTTTATTCGCATTGCGTTCATTCCCTCACCCCAGGACATTTATCTCATACAAACCATTTTCCTTATTTTCTTTCTGTAGACCTCCCACCCTTGGGAGTAGAGGGGGACATTTAGAGAGCAGAATTCAGGAAGGGTCACAGATAAACTCCTCCACAGGGACAGCACCTATGTTCATGACTGTCTGCCTGCTTGTCTCGGTCCCATCTAAGTGCCTCCCACCTTGAATGTGCACTAGAAGCCCTTGGGAGAATCAAAAGGGGACTTACAGTGGATTTTGAAGTCCTTGTACTGTCTGTCTTCAATGGCTACCACGTACAAAGCTGCCCGGTCTGGAAACATAAGCCCTCCAGGTTTCTGTTGATGAATTGTGGGGAAATGGGTCTCGTAATCTATTCACCTGACAAAGACATCACATTTTGAACTGCACATAGAGTCACCAGACAAGCACCCCCTTGCCAGCATTTCTCACCAGTGGACTCTCACCTTAGGGCTAGGATGGCACTGCTCAGTTTTTATTTCGGAGCAGGAGAATTTTAGGGAACTAGGTGGATGGAGTCAATAAAAGAACGAATCGGTGTGATGTTAAATCCAATGAGGAGCAGAGAAAGATATTAGGTTCTCTTAGCCTGGAGAAGCCAAGGTGAGTAGCATAGACGGCTCCTAAGGACTTGTTGACCTGAATGGACTTTTATGTTGACAAGGGAGAATGGATATCAACTATCACAGAAGACGCTGAGGCTAGATCTGCAGAAGCACGTTCCAACATTAGACATGCTGGGCCCACCAGTGGTCATTCTATCCCCTGGAGCAGATCTGCTTTAAAGAGAGGGACCTGGAAGGGTGACCTCCTAGCCCAGGTCCTCTCAGAAGTCCTCCTACTCTTCCCAGTCTGTAGGCCATGAGTGGAGCAGCAAGACAGCCAGCAGACCAACGCGAGCACGGCACGCAGGACACTTACCAGCCACTTGTCCCTGGCAAAGATCACTGTGTTGAGCATCGACTCATAGAACAGACAGTAGCCCATCCACTCGCTGATGATGATGTCTACCTTCTCCACAGGCAGCTCCACCTCTTCCACTTTACCCTTAAATATGGTGATGACTGGAAAACAAGAACCCCAAGGCCATGCTTTGCAGGGACCCCACCCGGGAACCACGCGCACCCCATGTCAGGGCCATCTCTAGGTTTCAGCTCTGTTCCAATTCTACTTTTAGGATGTGGCATAGCTTACTCTTCACCAAGCTAATGCATATGGAGATGGTTGAAACCCGCTTGTGTGTTTTCCCTCTAAAACTTATTGAGCCGTTACGATGTGCCTGGCACTGTGCTGAGCCCGTCACATGCAGAGCACCATGCAAAGTAAGCCCCTTACTGCTGACCCTTCAACAACACGAGTTTGAACTGCCTGGGTCCACTTATATAAGGATTTTTTTTTCAGTAAAAGTTACACCTAGTGTTCCTGCCTCTCCTTCCTCCCCGCCCCCCTGCCTTTACCACCCTGAGACAGCAGCCCAACCCCTCCTCATCCTCCTCCTTCTCCTTGCCCTACTCAATTTGAAGACAACGAGGACAAAGACTTTTATAATAATCCACTTCCACTTAAAAAAGAGTAAATATATTTTCTCTTCCTTAGGATTTTCTTAATAATATTTTCTTTCCTCTACTGTAAAAATATAGTATGTAATTGTATATAGCATACAAAATATGTGTTAATTGACTGTTTGTTATTGGTATGGTTTCCAGTTGACAGTAGGCTACGGGTAGCTAAGTTTTAGAAAAGTCAAAAGTTCTGCATGGATTTTCAACTGCAGTCAGTGCCCATAACCTCCACAATGTTCAAAGGTGAACCGTATTATTATTTTCATTTGCAGCTAAGGAAACTGAGGTGTAAAGAGGGTAAATAGCAGCCGTGGAAACAAATCCCAGATGTGATCTGATATGAGTCTAACACTCCCATCATGGTTCCTCACCCTATGTTAGGTTACCATGATGCTTCAAACCCAGAGAAAGCAGAGATGCCTCCTCGGTTGCTCTTACATCTGTGCTCAGCCAGGGCTCAGCACCCAGTGGGTGCCCTTCTCATGTCTGTGAAGGAGGCGAATTGGTGTTTTGACAAGAGCATGGGTTCTACAGTCAGAGAAACCTGGGTTTAAGTTCTGAATCTTCTAATTGTTAGCTATATGACTTTACACAAGTTATGTGATCTAACGAAACTCTAATTCTCCAGAGAACAACCATGGAAAGCACCTACTTAAACCAGTGATTATCAACTGGTGTGCAGTGGGAGGATCTTGGGTGTGCCATGAAAATTTTTAAAGATCATTAATTAAATTATTTTCAAAAGGAGTTCAAAGTACAATAAGTATATATATATTTTTTTACTCTTTTCTTTTAATCAACGTAATTTAAGTGTGCCATGGAAGTTTAACTATAGGTTCAAGTGTGCCCTGAGATTTAAAAAGCTGAAAAGCCCTGATTTAGAGGATGGTTGTAATGGTTAAATGAAATAATAGTTGTGACGTGCCAGGCCCATAGCTGAGGCTTAGCAGAAGGGAGAGATTGTCTGATATTGACATATTCCTCCTTGTTGACCAGGAGATTGAGAGGAGAAGGGGATAGGGCTGGGAAAAAACCCCTGGGCCAGCTGGCCCTGCTCACAGGTCACTTCCAAGAACTTCAGGTGCCCCAGGGCAGGAGGAACTTCTTAGATGAATTTTTGACCAATTAACATAGTTGTACACATAATTTTGGAATCTTTCTCTGCATTCGTTTGCTGTAAGATCAGAACAAAAGCTATCTTAGACACTGCTGTTAAACTGACAGGGTGATATATTGGTCGGCTGGTTCCTTCTGAACATTTTTTTGGAAAGGTTACATATATTCATGCTCTGAAACTCTCATTCTGTAACATCCTCTGAAAATTCACACAGTGCCTGACCTTTGCTGGGAAATTGAACAATGGCCTATACTTGGGAGTAAAAAAACAAACAAAACAAAAAACTCCTCATCTGTCTTGAATCTGAGTTTCATGAAAATTAATTTAGACTGGAGACTCCTGGACGGCAAAGGGCAAGCTGTTCACTGGCTTTATTTAGTTGCTGCACACTGGATAATGCAGGTGATGGGGTGCCCATTAGTGGCTTCTCATGACGGCTGACTCTCCACCATCTGGTATTTAATCAAGGTTTAATCAGATAGAGCCTCCTTTACAGGGAGTCAGACACTTTGTATATATGTATTGACCCCGATCTCTCTGGAGTGAGACCCAGGCTTGGGTAGCCCTCCTGGTTACCGTTCACTGAATTCCTATCCCCCCAAAGTAAAAGCAGCAGGAGCTCATCTTCTCCTCAAAAGGTTTGGAGGGGCTGAGGGTAGTAGGTATTAAAGCTCTATTCCTCAGGGCCCAGGGCCCAGGGTACACCAAGAGAACTCATAAGAGGACAAAAGAAAGGATTTTTGAAAATGCAAATCTAGAGCCTGATTTATTTCTTATTCTAAAAAAGAACTGACAAATATGCTCCTGACCTACCTGCCTGATCATTTGCATGCAAAGCCTGACTTGTCTTATTTTTATAAACTCCTTTTTTTACAGTTTTGGCCCGGCTGAGCTTGAACCCGCCACCCCCAGTATATGGGGCCAGCGCCCTACTCCTTGAGACACAGGGGCCGCCCTATTTTTGTAAACTTTTTAAAAACATTTTTAATGGCCTCGCTTTCTTTTTTCTTTGCTCATTTCTCGAAGGCTCTTCCCTAGGTCTGCATGTGTCCGTGCAGCTATGGGTCAGTTCCTCTCTGTGTGTTATATGGAACACGTGGCCTTGCTGCAGCCCTTTTCTGCCTCTGGGCCCCACCACCTCCACCGTGGGTGTTTAGCACAAGTCTCCACCCATGATGATTTCATGGACACGACTCCATTAGGAGCTGCAGGAAACAAATAGATTTGAAGTGTTTGTCTGCTTTTGTTGTGTTTTCGTCAGGTACCTCCCAGAGTGAGTGACTGCCTCTGTGTCAGCCAGCTTCTCTATAGGCTGCTGTATCCCAGCCAATATGGATTATGATAGATAGATAGATACATACATACATACATGCATACATACACATAGTGAGATACAGAACAGCAGATAGCACACAGTTTCTGCTTGCAAAAAGGCAGAAGGAATCAGTTAAGCCCATAAAATGCTTGACAGTCTGGACTTCTGTTCGCTTAACATCACCCTTCTACGTCTATTCAAGTGCAAACATATCTCAGAGCAGATGTAGCCTCACACTTGGCTTGGTGAATAGATGGGCCCTTTGTGAAAGTAAAAAGACCCCCTTCCCTTCAGTCCAGTGGTGGACTGGATTTCAGACCCCGTTCATCCTCTTGCCAGGTACTTTTTGTGCAGTGCCCAACCTGCACAACTTCAGTTCCTCAGGCAACTTATGCTCTTGTTCCAGCTGACAAACTAACCTTGATCAAATAGCTTCTCTCCTTTGAGACTTAAGCTTCCTTATTTTTTTTTTTTTTTTAAGAGGGAGTTGAATCTGAAATCTTGCAGCACCCAAATGCCAAAATACTCTGATTCTTCAAATATCTCCTGGGCACTTGCTATGTGTTAAGCATTCTGTGGGGGTTATTGGCAGGGGCTGCTGACCCCAATAAAGAAGTGCTGCAGCAATGTCCATTTTGACCCTAATTGACAACAATTCCTGGAGCCCGTTTTTGTTTTTGTTGCTGCTGTTTGTTTTGTTTTGTTTTAAGAGGGCACTTTTCTCCTGTGGGCCCCCAAATACAATTGTTCAGTTCAATCAACTAAGATAGATTTCCTGTGATCTGTAGTCACCACCACTACAGATTCAGTATTCCAGTCTGCAAAAAATACTACCTGTTATGCCAGAGGTTATGCCAATTCATTAGGGGCTGCTGGTGACATTCGCTGTTAGCCTGGCTCAAGGAGCTGTGTGGGCATGCGGCGCTGGGGTCCTCCCATCACATCCATGTTGAGGTTTGCAAGAGGGAGAGGCGTGGATGCTAAGGCTCTGGGGAGCTACAGACTGCACAAGTCCATGTCCCATCTGGACGCCGAATCACTAACACTGCATCCACTCAAGGTTGCACGGAGGTCACTATCTGAAACTGTTTTTATTCTGTAAGGATGATGGAAAGTTTGTTCAACTAATGATGACAGGACCATGGCTCGTACATTTTAGAATGATTAATCATAACTAAATACACCACAGGGAGCAATAAACTCGGCATTGGGAAAATTTCCCCTGTAGCTTTCAAGTTGGCAAATGAGACATCCTGAGTTTTTTAAATTGTTTTTAATGCAGTTTTTTTCCTTTATTTTGGTTTGAGTTTTAAGTGGATATTACAGAAATTGGTCATCTGTTTAACAATCATTTAGTTGGCTTTTTAATTTTTTAACAAATCAGGCTGGTGCAACCTCATTTGAGCCTCTAGCACAGTGGTTCTCAACCTTCCTAATGCCGTGGCCCTTTAATACAGTTCCTGTGTGTCACGACCCACAGGTTGAGAACCGCTGCTCTAGCATATCCATCAGAATCAGCTGACCCCATGGGTTCTGAAGTTAGTGACTTCTCCATCCTAGAGTCCTCACTGCTACCAAGAGCAGACCCTGTCCCACAGAAGAATGGGCATGAGGGTCATAGTATGGGGACAGGAGCACCTTATGACACAGTGAAGCCCCCAGTGCCACCCGCTCCACAGCCAAGCCCCTCCCTTGCCTCTCTCTACCCCCTTGGCGCTTTGCTCACACACTTGTTTTGGTGACACCCACACCAGCTGCCACACACCTTCCGAGGACTTGATTCACCTCCAGCCTATGAATTCCTCCTCTTGGTTGTCCATTTTAGTTTCCTATCGCCAGGATCTAGCAGAGCACCTGACTCCTCACAAAAGTCATCAGTGAATGAATGGATGGATGAATAAGCAATTTTGAAGAAAAGAGCGTTAGGTTAAGAGACAAAAGATCTTCCAACTAGTCCTAATTATGGTAGTAAAAAATTACTAGCCTTTGAATAAGAACTTGCAGGGTGATTTTACATAGATGGCAATAATCCTCTTTGGGTCAGGTGTGATTGGTGGATTATTCATGTTG